CCCAGGTGCCCTCCGTCTTTCCCGTCTCACGCCCATCTCCTCCGTTTTGTCGCCAATTTCTGTCAGCGTCCGACTTCTCCCCTTTTCCTTATTGTTTCTAGCCCCTCGTTTTTTCGGGCGTCATCCCGGGTGACGACCTGCTCTCGTGCGCTCCCCCCTTTGGCCTGATCGCCGATTATTCCGCCGACGGCTCCGACCTTCAGCCCCCATCGGCGGCTCCCGACACTTTATCTCGTCGATACCCGTCCAGCTAGTGGTTCCGTTGGTGCCGCCATTTTATCTAGGCCCACGCGGTCCCTGGCACTGTGTTCCGCCTGCATTACGTCTTTCCCTTGGTCTCACGCGGTTCCTGGTACTTTGCCCTGCCGGCACCACGCCGTCCCTTGGTCCCGCGTGGTCCTCGATCCTTTGTCCTGCCGGTACCGCCCCGTCTCTCCTTGGTGCTCCTGACGTCCTTTCGCCTTACGGCGATCTCCGCTCCCCGTTCCTCTTGCGTCCCGCACGCTGTTTTGTCCCGGGTGCCAGCTCCCATCCAACCGGCGGCCTCCTCGGCCCTCTTACTGCCATGTCACGTCAGCGCCTTGCACCCCGTCCCTTCCTACTTCCTTCCTTCCCTTGCTGCACACCTCCTATGCTACTACCACTTCCCCGCGGCCCTTCTCCGTTTTTCGGGAAAGCGTCGTCCTTGCTATTCTCTCACAGCCCTTTGCCGCTTCCTGCTTAGACAGTTTCTCTCTAGTTCGGTGGTCTTAACGACTCTGGACGGCCTCTAGCTCCTGCTGTCTGTGCCCACGCTTCCGATCTTTCCAGCATTCCTGCCTCCGGTTTTCTCTGCCGTGCACAAATTGGTCATATACAGTTTCTTGAGTGTCGGGAAATTATTCGGAACTCACCAGTCCCGACATATTCCCCCCACTCATTCGCGATGTCCTCATCGCACCAATCCATGGTCAGTAGGGATTTTGGAGTGATAGACAGACAGGGAAGAGGGGTGGGGTGGGATGAGTAGTTAGCTTGCCAGGGTTCTTTTTTTGTCTTTTCCCCACCCTTTTCTCGGGTCCTCCTTTAAATTCCCGCCCCTTGGGGCGGGGGAGGGAATGGAGGGGCCAAGGTTTTGTTTCGGGCTTCCTTTGAATTGCGTTACGTCCCCAAGCTCAATAATGTCTTTGTAACGAGCGCGTAACACTCTCCGTGCATCAACGTCCATCTCACAGCTGTATCTCTTTCTCACTGGAATTCCCAAATACCCAAGAGCTTCCCCACAACCTCCCGTATCGTTCCACAAAAGAGAGGACGACGCGACCATCACCCTCCCCAAGGACTGAGGTAAAAGGGAGATTTTTGCGACGAACGTCACAATGGTCGTTCGTCATGGCTTCCTCCAGGTGCGAGCTAGCAACTCGTCAAGGAGCTTGAGCAGCTTGATGTTTCTTTTCCTCATCAAGTTGACTAGCACCGCCCCTTGGAGGGATCTGACCACGGACATGCCCTGCAGCTAGTTTTTCATTGTACGTTATTTCTCGTTCTCGACAATGTCTTAAAGGCTGCATTCGTAATCTCAAATCTATCTTCCAATTTCATTGAGAAAACATTCTCGAGCAGAAATCATTTTGGTTTCGTCTCATTTATTACTCTAAGGACATCCACACATTTTCAGTACAATTTTTCCTTTCCCCGAAGCTCAGACATAGCCAAATCCACATGTATTCTTCCTGAGTCATTCCTCCCGGCCTTTCTCAGGTCCTGCCAATTCCGCATGCATATCCTCCTCTGCCCTTTCTTGCCCTTTACTTAATTGACTCTTCATGTGCAATGCTTGGTTCACCCCTTAGCCACTTCTCATTTTTTTCAAGCTTACACAAGTCAATTACACAGCCAACTCTCAGTCTGCCAGTTCCTTTCTTAGGTCCACGCATAATCGATCACACCAGCCCTTTCCTTCCTGGCTATCTTTCCAAGTCATTTTTCTCAAGTTCATAGCATGTTATTTGCTCAAATTCTTTCTGCTCTGGCGTCTTGCCAGGCCCCCATTTCTCAAGCCCATACAAAGCCAATTACAACCTTTTTCTGTTCCGGCCATCTTGACAGGCCCCTTTTCCCCAGGCCCATGCAAAACCAATTACAAGTCTTATTTTCATGCGTATTCATAGGTAGATGACACACCTTCCCCCCACTCAAAACGCGATGTCCCCATTGTGCGACTGGTTCTCACTCGGAGGTACGCAGACCTTTGACCCGCCAACCGCAAGTCAAGGACGCAAGCCCATCTGCTTCACAAAAGGAGGAGTGATCACTTCCTCCCCAGCGAATGACGCCTCATCCTTCTACTCCGTTCGACCTTTATTCTCTCACGTGGCGAGCACCAATACTGAGGTTCCTCCCCGCGTCTGTCAGGTAGGTCCAATCCAAGCCTGTCATGACCCCGTCTAGCCGTAAGAGTGTTTCTCGCGAATCGTTCCTCCCGGGTGGTGATTTTTAGGATTCCGACCTCTTCCTTTCAAGAGAGTTGGGGCTCTCGGTCAGTTCGCGAGTGCAGTTACGAAGACCTCGCAATTAGTCCCGAAACGGTTGTAATATTCCGGCAGGGCAGTGTCAATGCCCCGTGGTGGTGACGGACTCCACCCGGTACCTCGCCCGGCCTCTCCCCGTGGTCCGACCCAAACGGCCATGCCACTCCTCTATGATGTGGCGTGTGGTTGGAAAGTAGCAAAATAGACTAGATGAGAATGACTTTCCTGCCCATTTGGCTCTCTCGCCCTTTGACGTTTAGGCTTTCAACAAGAGACGCAGTTGGAACTCCCCGACTAGAGCTCATTGTCGGAGGTGGTTCCGGACGTCCTGCACCGATCCAAGTGGTAGGTGCCTTAGTCCTTTAACCCTCACCCTCTCGAAGAGGAACACGTCGCGCTGAGACTTTTTCCCTCAAAGGGATAGAGGTCTTGAGGTCGTGGTGCATGCACCGGTATCCCCCTCTTGCTGAGGCCAAAGACTAGAGGAAAAGATAAATTTCATTTCAAAGCTCTTTCCAAGTCCATTTCCAGCTGCCTAGGGTCCCCAGTTTATGCAATGCAATTTCCAATACTCAATCCAATTTCAATATTCAGTCCCATTCCCATGCTCAATCTCAGTCTGGTGCTCATTCTCAGTCCAAAGCTCAATGCAATACCTCTTCCAAGGCTGAGTCCAATATCTCTTTCAATGTCGTTTCCAAGGCTCAATTCTTCCAATGTTTTTTCCAAGGATCATCTCTTCCAATGTCATGCATCTCAAGCAGCCATGCAAGGGGACCCCAGTGCCAATTCCAAAGAATAACCCTTGTCAGGGGCCATTCCGAACAACCTGGTTAGGGTCGTTCTTTCCATTTCCAAGTCCACCATCCTAGTTAGGACCATCCTTATCCATTTCAACTAGACAGCCTGGTTAGGATCATCCTTGTCCATTTCAATGTTAGCGCCCGAGGGGGTGGGCCTCGAGGACACGAATCTTATCTCGTATCGGGGGTTGGAAGGCGGCCATCGTCTTGGGTTTTTACGCATGCTTCTTCCTTTTCCCTCATGCCATTTGCCAATCTTACATCCATCCGTACATCCGACTTAGCGTCTAATGCTTGAGTTGGAGATCGCATCCCCAAGCAGCACTAGCCCACCCGACCGTTCAACCATTACAAGGGGTGCTGAGTTCTTTCCATGTTTTCTCTTTCTCTGGACTCTCATGCATTTTGCTGTTTTGGAGCGACGTGAAACCGGTTGGATTAGGCTCCTAGGGAAGAGGGTCCTTCATGCCTCTTTACCCATAGGTCCCCTAACCTCTCACAAGGACTTGTGCAAAGACTCATTCAATCATGGACACATAAATAAAAGAAAAAAACTCTCGTCATCAATGTTTCTTCCAATATCCAGGAGTTTACATCTCCTTGCTCATCTCCTCGAGACAAAGTCAATTACTTCGAGTCCATTTCTTACTACAAAAGACTCGTGTTTCCCAAAAGGAGCAGGTACTCATACAAAGTAGCACCGCTCACCCACCCCCTACTAGTTTCTTCAATCCAAAAAGTAGTTACATTGCAGTCTTTCCAAAAAGAAAACGAGGCGACAAAGTCTGAATGCAAGACACCATTACAGACTGGTCTCGTCTAGTTCCCTCTGTTTTTCCCTTACTTCCCCTTAGCCATCCCAGCCATCCACAGTTCTATTCTAAGTGCAAAAAGCTCTCGTGCCCATTCCCGAAGAAGCAACGACGTATGTAAAGTAGCATTCGTTACCCAGTCCTTGGCCGCTTCGAGCTTAGCAGCTATCTCATCATAGTTCATTCAGAAAGAAGTTCAAATGCGCAAACGAAAGATGGCAGTTCTTGCTGCCCGGTTACCAACCCTTCCCTGATTCCCAGCTATTCCCATCATGCCTGTTGTCCCCTTTTACTGTCTCGGTGCCCTGCGCCGAACCTCCCTCCTTGCACGGTCCTCCATCTCTTGCTCCATTAACCTCTTTATCGTCTGTAGATGACGAGGCGTTTCTTCTAAAAAGAAGGTTGTTGGGGATATGTCTTCTCCCCTGCTCAACTTTTCCTTTCCCTTCATAGCCCACTGATAACGCAAAATACTGGCCCATTGATCGAACCAATCGTTGAACGTTGGCCCAAATTTTCTTTTCCATGGGTCATTTTCCTCACCCGGTTCGTCCTCTCTTCCCCATTCTTCCCTTGTGGGCGTTGTTACCTCATCTTCCTCCTCGTCGCTGGTGAGGTCAATGAACTCAATGGGCTCATTCTCTCCCGGCCGTTGTCCTTCCTCTGGGTTTCCCTTTTCCTTACTACTAGGATCACTGTCTGAAGGCAACTCTATTGGCTCCCCTTCCTATAGTGGTGACGGTCCTCTGGTTCCTTGCTTTCTGCCCCCCCTATTCACAACTAGGTTGTGATCGAACCCCACATACAACTTCCTTTTCCTAGAGCTTGACTCTCCAGCTTGCCTTGACGACTGTCCCTCTTCCGACCTGTTAATTGCATTGCCGTCATTTTCATTCCCAAACTCCATTTTTTTGTTTTCTTGTTGTCTTTCTTCTTTTTGCCTGGCCCTGTTCATACATAACAGTCATGGTACCCCTCATACACACGTATTCCCTTCCACTCCCATTTGCAGCCTTGGAGGCTTCCCTAGAACTCTTGCTTGCCCCCATATAGTTGGTAGTCCCATTATCCCTTAGAACCCTCGACACATTGTCCCAACACATAGGTGCCCCATGTAGGTAGTCCACAACATCACCCCACAAAAACTATGGTACATTTTCCCAGCACATAAATACCTCGTGTAGACAGTCCCCAGCGTTACCCTACAAAAACTATAATACACTGTGCCGTGCTCCCAAGCCCAGTCACAGTCAGCCCAGGCAGTCTCCCCACGTTCCACAAAAAGCAAGACACACAAAAGAACAATCCCTGTGGTCATGATCACTTCCACAGGGAGGCGGTCCAGAACTTTTAGCCAGCTGCCTGCCTTTCAGGCTGTCCGTTCCCCAGTTTCTCTGTCCCGGGCTTCTTGTAACCATTGTTCCACCGAATCCTGCTAAAAAATCTGGCCAGTCTCTGTCCCGGAAATGGTCCTCTTATGCTAGTACCATCAAGATCCTCAAGTTCGAACGTATTCAGTCCGACCCGCTTAGCGATCCTGTAAGGCCCTTTGAATCTCTTTCCCAGTTGCCCAGACCATATGCTTTCAAGAGCCGAGTTTCTAACTAACACTTTCTCCCCCACCTGGAGTGGCTCTTTCCGAATGTTCTTGACCAGGTCCCACCTTGCTTTGTCCTTCATTCGGCTATCCGTTACACGGTTAACTACTTCATCCAATGCCTCCTCATTCCTGGCGACCTGCTGGCAACGTGTGGTGATGAACTCCTCCGTTGTCAAGTGCAGATTATCATCTAACCTGTTCCAAGTAGGGACGAGGGTCTCCATTGGGAGGTCAATCTCCCTTCCATACTATAGCTCCGCTGGAATGCATCCCGTCGTTATCTTTGGTGTCATGTTCTAAGAGAACACTGCCTGCTTAAGGTACCGTGGCCAGTTCCCCAAGTTGTCTGCTGCAAGCTTAGCGATTGTGTTTTTCAAGGTCCGATGCCCCCTTTCTACTGGTGCATTTGCCTCAGGGTGGTAGGGTTCAGTGATCTTGATAGGTACACATAGTGTCTTAAGCCTGTTCAACACCTCCTGGTTAATGAATTATGTCCCATTGTCTGCTATAAATCTGCGCATGAAGGGGTGTCTTAGGTAGAAATCTTCCACCCAATCGGCCACTGCTTTCCCCATCTTCTTTTTGAGGGCTACGACCTCTACATAGCCACTAAGATTATCCCTTGCATCCAAGATGTATCTAAACCCATCTGTCGATACGGGCATAACCGCAAGATCGAGGTGAACAAAGTGTCAGGGTCCCAGTACCCGAGTGGGTCTAAGGGGCTCGTAAACCCGTACGGAGCTCCTCTCTTGACATATCAGACACGTCTGACAGTACGTCGCGACCATGCCTGTCATTCCCGGTCAGAAATACAGGGGCACATTTTTTGCAAGTGTCCCTTTTGACGACCGGTGACCTCCAGCTAGTCCGTCATGCATGGTCTGAATTACATCCAGCTGCCTAGACCTCCCACAAACAACTCGCCTAGGCGTCATCCCTTCCTCTTTCTTAAATAGGTGGCCATTTCTTAAGACATACTTCTCATCTTCCTCCCTTGCCTTGGAGCTGACTTCCGAGGGTTGTTTGTTCCCTACAAGCAGCACCCCGATTTTTCTAAAGACGCCCTCATACATCTGTATGAGGAAGAACTCTTGTTCCTTCCGATCCGCATCCTGCTCTTCCCGGGTCTGGTTGACTAGGTACTGGCATTCCTTCTGCGCCCAGGCTTCGGCCAACGTCATCACGACATCCCGTCCCCCTTCCACGGCCATTTCCATCAGTTCCTCTCTCGCCCCAACTTCTGCTCCCCATGAGTCCTTTTCCTCTTTGCGCCTGACCGTGGTGACTGATCCTTCCCTGAGTTTTGCCACTACTGCAAGCGTGCCCTTTTTCAAGGTTTGAATCAGCAGCTGGCCTGTTGTAAGTGTTGAGTCGGCCATTTCGTTATCCACAACAAGGGCCCCCCCTTCGTAATCTAGGAAGGCGTCAATTGGTTCCTCGTCCTCTATTCCCTCCGGCGTGATGCATACCCTACTCAGCCTATCCGCCCTGTTTCGAAGCCCTGCGATCCGCTCGACCTTGTAGTCGAACTGCCATATGAAGCCTATCCATCTGCCAACGGTCGGATCTATAGGCTTGTAATTCTTCAGTGCCCTGGCAACATTGGTGGGATCGATCCTTAAAATGAATCGCCTTTCGAACAGATACGCCTAGAAGGTCTTCACGCAATGTAGGATGGCTAAAACCTCCTTCTTGAACTGCGAGTACCGCCGTTCTGTCGAATTCAAGGTCCTACTCTCAAATCTGATTGGTCTTTCCTTGCCCTCCTCGCTTTTCTATATCAATACGCCTCCTACACCCATTGGGCCACCATCTGTCTCTAGGATGAAGGGCCGTCCTACTTCGTCATTGAAGCAGGGTGCTGCTAAGATAACCTGATCGGACGACAGGATGTCATTCAGGGTCTTGGCTGCCGCTTCCCTATCCTCGGTTCAATCCATAGTGTAGCCTTCCCTAATCATTGCGCGGATAGGCTTTGCTATCTTTGCGAATCCTTTGATGAAGATCCTCCAAAACCCAACCACCCCTAGGAAGGCTCGTACTTCCGTCGTGGTGCGCAGGGGCGTCGACCACTGGGAAATCTTATCCGTCTTTTCTGGGTCGGGTCTCCTCCCATAAGCTCAACAGCGAAATCCCAGTATGGTTACTTCCGGAACGGTCAGGATGCTCTTCGGTCCACTTGCGGTAATATTATAGAGCAAGAACAACTGTAGGAGATCCTTGATTTCCTGCAGGTGATCCCAGACAAATTTCCGCACACCCGGCTCGACCTCCGTCTCGTCCTTGTACCTTGTACCTTGCGCCTTTTACAGGATTATCATCTATATACGGTTCACACTTTTCTGGAAACATATCCCCTGTGATGGCGAGCATCCTCCTCTGCGCCTCTGCTACCGCATTTGTGAAACCCATAGGGGTCACTTGCATCTGCTGTTGCCCTACGGGGGTGTGCATTACGGTGTACGGTCTATCCCTCGATCAAGCGGCAACTGATCATATCCTAAGTACAAGTCTACCAGGGAGTAAATACTCCGCCCCGCATGAGATTCTGCCAGCAAGTCGGCCTGTGGAAGCAAGCCTGTGTCCCTAATCGTTACCGCATTGAGCTTTTGCAGGTCCTGGATCCACCTGAGCGTCTTATTGGGCTTCCTGAACACGAACCACTTGTTCGTGTAGGGGGATGCGGTGGCTTCAGCCACGAAAGAATCTATCTTGGCTCTAAGCAGGTCGGTGACCTCCGCTGCTATCCCAAACTCATAGGCGGGCCCTTTATCATTCCAACACTCGTGCTGTACGGTGTGGATCTTGACAGGGGGAACTAGCTTTGCGTCCAATCGCCCTTTCTGATGATCGTTGAARGCGAAAGYTAAATGAAACTCCWGACATGCCTTTCTTATCAACTGAGTTTCTTTCGGTGTTAGGAACCCTTCCACTCCTATTTTCATGGTATCTGCTACGTCATCTGGTATGTGATGAMCTTCCGTTGCGCGTCTCTCCCTTATAACCCGTAGGATCTCCTCTTCCTTTTCCATGGCCTCTTCCCTTGATGTTTCTACTAGGATCGAGACCGGCTTGGACTTCTTCCCTACGGGTTTGTATTATCGCACACTGCCCTCTGGGATCGTTCTCCTAAAAAAATGAACGGTCGGGATCGGCCTTGCTACCTCCACGACGCGGGGCTGGATGCTGACTAGCTTCCCATTCAGACAGTAGCCCTTTCGGACCCCATCCTCAAATCTAGCAAGCGTTGCGGGGTCCACCCCCACTTTGTGGTACCTGATAGCCTTAACGAGTTGTAACAAATCTTGGATTTCAAGCACCACCTCCGACGTTTCGTTCCGGCCTTCCTTTGGCTTGGGCAGGCTGGCCCCAAGTTCGACTTCCGACTCTTTTTCTGCCATCATAACTTCCAGGGCCTCGTTCTCCTGTCGCCTTTTCTTTAGAGGCAGACCCATTTTGATCCATTCCTTTTTACTAAACACTTCCTCAATCATAATTTCTACCCTTTCCCTCATGCCTTGCATCCGTTCAAATGCGCCTTTCCGCGCGCTTTCTTCAAACGTGGGCGACCAGGTTGCCAGCTTACCCTTGGGAGGGTCTCGTCCAGTTTCGAGGAGTCGGAGAAGTTCTCCGTGACCAGTCACCGGATTCTCTATGTCTACCATATATGTGCCATCATGCAGGTGCATGCCAATCATTTCTACATTGGCGCACCATGGCCTCCCATGACGGTCATCCGTTAGAAAGACCAGATGGATTCCTGAATTGCTGCTTTGATCGCGCATTTGGTGACATACCCAGTGCAAGGAATTTCTCCCCCTGCTCCCCGGATACTCCCTGCTACCTCCTTGCTTACTGTGCACCCCGTGATTGTTGCGAAATCCCGACGTATGAGGGTAATTTTTTCCTACAGGTAGTGCGTGGAACCTAAGTTTAGTGTCGGGCGGTGCTCTCATTACTTCGCCACCTTCTCGGTCCGGCAGACTCAAACGAATATCGGCAAAAGCTTTTTCCAAGTTTTTCAGGCCTCCTGGAATGCTTTGGAGGTTGGAGACTCCTTGTGGCGCCTCTGCCTCCTCGGGTCCTTGCTCCTATGGTTCCGGAGTCTCCTCTACTTTTACACGTCCACGCGTCAATAGCTGCCTGAGGCCCTTGAGCAGTATCGGGCTTGTCGGCAGTATGGTCTGAAAGGATACTCACACCATGGTGCTCAGGAGTTTGCTCAGTGTATCATCTAATTCGGGCAGCGTCAGAACCGAAATCTGGTATCTGAACTTCTTTTTTGTCGCCGTGGCTTTGTCTATCGGTTCCTCTTCCCTTGTTTTTCCATAGACCTTCTCCTGTTCCCCGGCCTCAGCTTCCTCCTGATCTGCACTAGCCCCCGCGGCTTCTTCTATTACTGTGTCTCGGATGAGCTTCTTTTCCGCGCCAGCTCGTCGGGTAGTGATATTTACCCTATCCTGCCCATTGCCTTCTAGGATAAAATTGGCCTGTGGTCCCCGTCCCCTTGGCTGGTCCCAAACAATCTCGGCTATCGGCTCTGCTTCTATGACAACTATCTCTAAGTGATTCAGGAGGATGACAGTTCGCCGCATCCCTCCTTGCGAGTTCCAATTGACGCGCTCTCCCCTGGGTCCGAGGATCTCGCCTTTGAGGAACCTGCTGCACCTCTGCCGCTTGATATCGTGATTGAGTCTGAGACAGACCCGTACGAAATGCCCGATCATGGTGCAATACTTGCATTGTTCGTTGGTCGGATCCCTTCTGCCAAATCCACGGTTTGCTACAGTTGCCGGAACTACTGCTTCTTGGGGCGGGAGGGCGAGTCAGGATACTTGCGCCTGCATCACTAATAGCGCGCTTTCCATTCTTGCTATCTTATTGTCAACCCCGTGCACCCTTTCATGCAGGCTCTCTATTCCATTTTTGACCTTATCCCACGTTTTGTCGGTTAGATCTATGACCTCCCCTTCCTTAAGCAGGGCTAGTGTCTCGGTGACCATTGTCTTTTCCGCAAGGTCTGTTACGGTGCTGAAGTCCACATCTCTCGTGTACTCGAACTTACAGGTCTGCTGGTATGCTGACAAAATCTTATCCTTATCAAACTCGGAGAACTGCCTGAGGAAGTATTTACTCATTATGCGGTTCGTTACCCCGGGAATTCGCAGCGCCACTAACGTAAATGCCCTTAGGAAATCGTTGTAAGTCGCATAGTTTTTCCTGTGGACTGCGGATAATTCGGCCTCTGTTGCCATTTTCTCTGCCTTCAGGTATTTCCTCATCATCTCATTCCTGGTTTCTTTCCAGGATCCACTAGACGCGACGATGGCCATAATGTCCCTTCCCAAGCTTAGCGACACGTGCTGCCCTAGGTGCTCCATCTTTTCCTCTTCCATCCATTTCAGTAAGGTTGCTAGGTTCTCATAATCTATTAAAAACTCCGTAATGTTGGCCCTATCGAACGTGAGTTTCTTCTTTGCATCTGCGAGATACCCTTGGTTCTTGTTTAGTGCCCGGGTGAGGGTGGTGACTATCCTCTTGAGACCACCTTCGAAGCTACCCGCTTCTCCAGCTGCACTGGTCCCTTTCCCTTTCTTGCTTTCCCTCTGGTTCTCCCTGGTTTTCGGCGTTCCTTCTGGGTCAAACCATCCTAGCACCCTTTCCCTAAGGCTCAAGAGTCCGTCGCACACCCCTGTTACTTTCGACGTGCCTGGCAGTCGGCTAGTGCCGCTGTCGATGGCAGGCAGTGTCATAGCGTTTTCCATCCCTTCCGCCGGGGGGTCGTTCTTGTCCTTCCCCTTCTTACTAGGCGTTCCTTTGTGGCTATTATCTTTCCCCTCATACCTGGCCTTGTCCTGACCGGTCCTGCGTCCCTCACATGACCCTGCGCCCTAGGGGTCCTCCTCATCCTCGACCATCATCTGCTCGATAAGCCTTGCCTTAAATTCTGCAGTCTGTTTTTCTATCTCTGCCAATTTACGACTAGCATCCGAGACTTTTGTCTTTTTAGGGGTGGCTCCTGCTGGATTCCGAGGGCTTGTTCTCATATCGTTTCCCCCTTCCCTGTTTTCTTGAGGTCCCCTTTTGCTACCTCCGGCTTTCCCCGAGCTTTCTCCAATTGAGGCGTCCTTTCTGTCTTCTCGGGTTCCTTCCAGTTTGGCTGACTCTCGATCCCTGGTTGATCCCTCGTTTCGTTCCCTATCCCTATTCGTGCCTTGATTCCCTTCGCTCTGCTGGTCACCGATCCCTTCCTCAGTTGCCATTTCTTTACCTAGCCTGCACATGGAATTTTTTTTTTTGCGAAAAAGTGGCCGGTTGTTCATAACTGCCCTAGCCCCGGCCCTAAAATCCGCCTATTCCCATGTTTTTGCGTCTTACGTTTAATCGGCCCGACTCTTCTGACTTTTCTTTCCTAGGGCGTCCTTCAGGTTTCCTCCCACCGGGGGACTTTCCGCCGCTGCTTGGCATTTTACCACTGCCGCGCTTTGGCCCTTAGGGCGGTGTTTGAGCCCAGTGGCCTCCTTATCGAGGATGGCTCTTTTGGCTTTTCGACCTCCGAATGCCCCCGAGTTTTCTGGTGCGGGTGGTGTTCGGGCCTCCTTGTCGGGGTATCGGTTCGGCCAGAACTCCAACCACTGCCCCCCCCCTTTTTTGGTGATAGATGTTTTTTTTATCTCAGTCCCCGTCCTTTATTTCCCTATTTCTTTCTGACGCATTTTCTCATGCCGGTCCCTCAAGCCTGCCTTGCTCATCCGGTTCTTCGGACAGGTCGGACACCCCAGCAAGATAATTTTCTCCCATCTCTATTTCCCTAACGATTATTGGTTCATAGTACTTCATACTCCTCAAACGCCAAGCGAGGCAACCCGAATATCAAAATTTTAATCAAGTCAAGTAATTCCCAGGCCTGATTACCCCAGAACGGTCCATGCCTGACCGACACGTCGTAAACCATCCCCGTTGTCTGTGGTCGAAAGTGGTGAATCCAGACCAGGGTCGAATCCACTAGGTCCCTAGCCCTCTCAAGGCTTCCAAATACCAAGTCTACCATGAAGCGGGGAACTCGGCATCTCAGCCCTGTTATTGGGGCCTTAAACTCTCACCAACCTCCTACTTCCACCCGGGTCCTCAACCCCACATTCCTCCTCCCTCGCACTTCCTCGCCTACTCGGTTCAGTACCCTAGTAGCCCTTCGAAAGATTGGTAACAACCCGTGTCCTAGTGCCAGCTCCGTTCCTAACATATGCCATCCAAACTCTGGCAGGTATACGGTTCCCGTCACCCTGAGGTCAATGTACAGATCGTCCCCTGGCCCCCTATTAATCCTCATGCCATCCCACAAACATTCCACCATGATGAACGCCTGGTCCCTTCCCAGGGTCACGACTTTCCATTCGGTATCAATCCCTCGGACCCTGTAGCTTGCCGGGAGCGATACCTCCCATCCGCCCCCACATTCCGTGAGTGGCCGCGGGTGCGTGAGCCGTCACGACATCCGGGCGCGTCTCATCGCCATTGTCGATTAACGGTCCCCTGCACAGTTTAAATAGCAAGCAAGTTTCCTTATTCCATTCATTCCCCGGCCTTTACCTGAGCAATCCTTGGTCCTTATCTCAATGCCTTTTTCCTCTTCTATCTCTTTCTCTTTTTCTCGGCTCTTTTACCAGCCCGTCTCTATTCCCGTCGGCTCATACAATCGGTGTAGATCATCCACGTCCGTCATCCCTGGACTTATTTCCCGTCGGACAACGCCCCATAGAACTTCATCACCTACGACCGGGGCCCTTGGCCTGGTGGTAAAAACGGCGCGCAGAGTCCGCAACACCTCATACTTCTGCTCCCCGCTAAACGGACTCATTTCTAGGAAGGCCCGATAGTATTCTCGATATACCATCGCATCTTCATATGTCAGGCTTGCGAGGTCGGCTACCGCTTGTCTAACAAGTCCCAGACCGCCCAGCCTTTCCAGCAGGAAGGGCGGCAGCCTCATTCGTACATTTTCACTAGGCAATTCAACACTCCCGACCATGGCTACCCTAAGGTCCGCCGTTACCTCGTCAACCCCCGGATCTGCGAACTCAAATCCCGCTCGCCATACTAACTGCCATGCCCCTTCAAACATGCTCAACGGGTCTTCTCCTGATGCCAGCCGAACTCCGAACTCCCTCCACCCATCCTCTGACACATACAGTCGTCCTTCTGCACGCACATGCCCCCGCGGGTCCGGGTTCCATTCCTCATTCTCATCCGCACGCCACTCACCTTTCGTCACCAAGTAAACCATACTTTCGTCACCAAGTACACCATATTTTCCGCAAGCTCGACCCCGACCCAATCTGCCACCTGGTGCCAACCTTCACTTGCCGCCGACAAGCTAACCTTTATCCCACCCGGTACTTCCCTAGGCGGTTCAATGCCCAAGGGGCGTTCCTCAAGGAACGTCCTTCTTCGCGCCATCGCACACTCGCCTTTGATCTCCTGGCTCGTGATCCGCACCGAACCCTACAATGGCCAGACATCCCATTCCCTTATCTTAGCAACTTTTCTCATATTTGCCTGGCCCCGCGGTTTTCCCGCGTTTAGTCGAACCATAGTACCTCGAACAGTTTGAACACATCATCCACATAGCAAGGTGTTGCTGCTACCTCACGGCGGATTATGGCCTCCCTAGTTTTCGGAGCCACCTCCTGCCGGTCATTCCTTTCAATGCCCAAAATGATAAGGACCTCCCGGGCTCTATCACCGTGGAAGGGCCCGAATTTCAAGGACGTCCTATAAAATTCCTCTGCCAGCCATGCGCAGTCCACGTGTATTCGTGCCATCGTGTTGGCTACCTCTGTTACGTGATCAAAGCCCCCAAACCAATCTGCCACGAATTCGGGCACCCAGGTCTTGGTTCGGTTGCAGGCGGTTTAAATTTCTTCCACCCTCCCATCACGACTCTACTGCTGACTGTATCCCAACCCTAGTTGGCGAACTTTTCCCCTGCCTGCCGAACCCTTACCTCTGCATCCCCTAGAAGCCACATCGGATTCTGCCTTGCCGCAAGTGTTGTGCAGAACAGGTGCCAGCCTTGTTCAGAGAGAACGATCGTTCCAACCGATTCCACCCTACCTTCCGCAATCTCCTCCCATCCTTCCTCTTCCCTCAACGGGTTCCAAGCACGTTCTATCCATAGGTATGACATTTCCGGCACAATTCCATACCCCCGCCAGTCACATGTAGTCCCCTTCCACTCATTACTTGGTGGTATAGATATCTCTACTCCCCTCCCGGTTCGTTTTGGTGGCCACGTGCAGTCCCATAGCTCGAGTTCCTGGTCCATCGCTTCCTACCTGCACATATACGACAACCCGTTTCCCAGATAAGTCCCCCGCCCATCCTTTTCAAAACTCCCAGTCCTCTATCTCGTTCCCGTCCTCGTCATCACTGAAATCCCCCTCCTCGTCCAAGAATAACTCTTTCACTCCTTCTAGGAAGGTTTCACCAGCCGCCACATTCCGGTAAACTATCTGCCAATGCATCGGGCTGGGAACAAAGATTTCGTCCGCGCTGAGGAGGTTTAATACCTCAGCTAATTCTTCTGCCCAGTTTCCTTCAAAAGACCCTGCTTCCACCGACAGCCTAAAGAAGTCCTGTCTAGCACATTGATACAGCCTCAGGCGCATCATCAACCGACATATCCGTTCCAATCTATCCCTGGTTTCGAAGACAGCATCCACCAAAAACGGGGGTAACACACACCTCATTGACCTAAGGGGCCGCCTCATATTTCCCCTATCCCCAAGTTCCACTCGCACCTCCATCCTTTCCATCTTCATTTCCGCCCGTTGACATGTTGTCCATATCACCTCCCGTTCCGCTTGCTTAAACAACTGTTCTAGTGCCGTGCCCAATACAAGTCCCACTACCATTGCATTTTTTATTTCCTGAGATACGTAGACCCATCCTCGAGCTTCCACTGTTCCCCGGAACTCTAGGTCCATCAGGCTGGGTGAAAGTCTTGTCTTTCTGACCTCAGTCCAGGTTGTCTCTATTCAGAGGAACGCGTCCTTCTCGTCCAGCATCACAGTTTCATAAGCTGGCTCCATATCGGTCCACGTCCCTTCTTCCGGGAGAACAACAGACACCCCATCCCTTACGTCTATGGGCATTTCCGGGCCCCTAGAGTAGACAGGAGGGGACAACCATCGCACCATCCCGTTTTTTTTCCGCTATCAGTCATGTTTCCACATGAAGGCACCACACGACCCCTCATGGTCAGATGGTTTTCTTTTCTTTTTCTAGATGGGAGTTGTTTTCAGGCCCCTCATCCGGACCTCCCGAACCTTTCCTATCCTTTCCCAGGCGCCATTGCCCTACCATACCCCCAATCGATCACCAGCCACGCGCATTCCTCTTTTCTTGGTTCCACTTTCTTCCGACTCCTAACCAGCCTCTTCCTCATGTTCTCTCACTCGTGCAGACTTAGGCAGGGGTTGAGAATAGACTAGAAACTCGGTCCCCATCCAACATTCATCAGGCAACTTTACAGAGGGAGGCACAAAAAGCAAAACTCAGGCAAGCGTCGCACACATGTCGGTCATCTCCTCACCGACCTTTTCCGCAGGGCTTTACACCATACCTCAAGCACAGTTCAACCGTCGCGAGCGCGGTACCCAGACTCCAGTGGGGGTTCGCCCTCACCTTCTTGCCCAGAATACCCCATCCCGACTTGCCGCTCGTGTACCCACCGTTAATCTCGGGAATCACCCCGCACATCTCGGTAGGGCCATTGGAGCCAGCCGTCCAGGCACTCACTTCCATTGGTCCAATAAGGAACAACCTTTTTCCAAACCAGGGTACGAGAAGCTACTGATCGCCTCCCAGGCTCCGTCTTTGCCCCCATGCAGTGGTGCTCCCTCCGCCAGTCCACAGGCTAGGCCCCGCTCGAGGAACGTTTCACACCCCGCCCGACAGATCAATGGAGTCGAAGCCCGTCACCGCACGGACGAGAATGCTAATAAGCACTCGACGTGACAAACTCCTGTTAGACAGCTCGGTGGCCTGACCCCTGTATACGAACAAACGGCAGTCTGCAAAGAGAACGATGTTTGGCAACCCGCAGTGGCCGGTGCAGACCCCTCCTTTCCTTCCAAATGGCAGGACGCTCAAAATCCCAATCATGCAATCACAAGTCCCAAGTGGGACACACATAGAACAAGTGCCTTTCCCTTGGTGCACCCAGCGCTTCCTACCCATTGCTCACAGGTTTTCACTCAGGACAGTGTGTGTCACTCACCCCTAAATTCCATACATAGCCTGGTACCTTCTCGTGTGCATCTTCAAAGGGGAGCTAGTTTTTCTCGGAGTCTAGCAACTCCCTTCATTCCCTTATCTTCGCTTGTGTGTCCGTTCATAGGGCAAGATTGTTCCTTCTCGATTACCGGTTGTGTTCATATGAGGTTCCTTCAAACATTTAAGTGTGGTGCACGGAGCCCGCTGGGCTCCGAAGAGGAGAGAAGGCACCCAGGTCGATCGGATCGCTCCGCCGCATGATTTTCATTGGAACCCGGACTTGCCCGAAATCCCAACCGCCTGCTAGGTAACTGGAGCCCTTCTTTCATACGAAGAGGAAGGGTCGACATGCGGCTTGCCCAAGGCTTCCCTGGCCTGACGAACATCAGTCCAAAGGAAGGAGGACTAGAGTCATCTCCAAAGGAGATGGCTGAGCAAAAGTGCAAGCATACATGTTCTTCCTCCAGGCCTGGCCTTGCCATGCGCCCAACCACCCTCAAATTTGATTCTCTCAAGGGATAGAGCACACACAAGTCCATATTCCTTATCTTCATGTTTATGTTCACGGTCATGCGTTAGGCGCCCCCCTCGAGACCGTATGGGTCACTTTAGCCCCTACCCGACACCTCCACCATTTTTTTGTAGGGGCCATACCCTGAAGGACTTTTGAGCTTAAGTCGACCCCGTTGCGGGTCCCAGTTGGCTCGACCTGCCCACGCTCACGCTCAGGGCGCGGGTCGTTCGTCCCAGGGGCACCCCCACCTAGAGCTATGAGATGGGTGGGGATGGACCTTTTTGCGAGAGGGCTTTACATTGCGGCATGTAGCTCCGCTCTCGCGTCAAGATGGTAGCTCTTTAGACACTCATGGCGTTTTCTTGATTCACTTAAGTCTGACCAGACATTTGCTCCTTCCAATACACAAGCAGTCCAGGGAGTTTATTGAAGTTTGGTCTTCTTATCATGCGCAGGCCAAGCGTCATCCATCGGGCCACGCACCGTTTCACTAAATCTAGTGGCTCACGACAGCCCCTATGACATCCTTGGGGTGGGGTGACATCGCCCGGCCCCCTAGCCGCTGTATTTTTTTTGCTCGAGCCACTAGCATTGCATGCACCTATCCAAGACTGCCCTTAGTCCTTCCGGGGTTGCATTGCATTTTAGAGAGTCGTTGCATTCAAGAAAGTCATTGCATTCAAGAGAGTCATTGCATTCAATCGTCACACAAACCACATACAGGCGTCGAACACTCATCCAAGCATCCGACCATCCAACCCATCCTCCATTCATAGTTCAAGCGAGGTCTAAGTCATTCTCTCGTCGTTTTCCCTATTCCTGCCCGCATCCGGCGGACGCAGTCCCGCTTAGACCACCCTAAGCTACTCACCTGCGCAAGACCACACAAAGCAAAAGCCAAGTACAATCCCCACTGGGGTCAACACATCGCCCCCTCCACAATCCTAAGTTTCCTTTGCCCTTCCAATTCCCTTATGAGTTCCATTTCCTTTCCCGCAAGCAAATCATATAATCCTCTTAGTCATGCAGCCGGGGAAGATGGTTGAGTTAAACTGACCTCATCCAAAATCAGCATTTATTTATTTTTTCGCAAATGCTCTCAATATTCCCGTATCCTTTCCTTCTTGGCGGCACAAGGGACCGACAACCCTTCCCTTGCCCTCGCTTTCCACCAAGTGAGAACTAAGTTCCTTTCCGTTCGTTCCCTGGCAATGTAACAGGTGAGGGTAGAGGTTAGTCACATGTCATTGAGGGGGAAGGGGTGACGGAAGGGTTAGGGGTTAAAGAGTTTTGAAGAAATGGAGGAGGACGGAGGGAGAGGGAGAGGAACGGAGAGAGAGAGAGAGAGAGAGAGAGAGAGAGAGAGAGAGAGAGAGAGAG